GGGGGGGGGGGGGGGGGGGGGGGGGGGGGCCGAGATGCCCAAGCAATGTGCTTTGCTCCCATGCACAGGCCACATGCCAATGGCCAGATAAGAGTTTGGGAAGAAATACTGCCCCATCCCTCCCTGCCTGTGAGAGTGGCAGGGACCATTCCTCTGCAGCCTGAGGTGTGGTTCACCTGGGATCGCTGGGCACAGCCTACTAACCAGCTCCCTTCCAGGGCAAGGGGCTGAATGCCGTTTGGTCTCCCCTGTCCTTTGCCCACATCCAGTCTCCCAGAGATAGAATATTTCCATCAAAAGCCTTTAGGCTTAATACAGGATTGTCCACACGACACCTAGTAGCCAGTGCTCTCCAGGGCCGACGAGATGGTGACATGGTCCATCTGCCCTTAACGATGATGCCACGGAAAATGCAGAGGCTGTTTCCGCAAGCAGGTCTTACCCATCTCTCTCTGCCCTCAGGGACGTGGTCCTAGAGTGCAGGAGGCAAGCGAGGGACTTGCTTGAGTGACAGCAGAACCTGGCAGTGTGACAGCACCATGCACGGGGGATGTGGCAGCACAAAGCAGCTTCTGGATTAACAAGTTGTTGCAATGACTCTTAGATTTTATTTTGCACCACAGGGATCTGCTTTGATTAAAGAGGATGAGCCCAGGCTGCATCCCCCACAAGGGCAAGGGACTCATATACCTCAGCTAAGGGAACAGCTAGAGGGAAGTATGTATAGTTACTGCCAGTGGAAGCCTGGCACTGGTGGGGGTGAAGAGGGCTGAATCTGGGCACAGGGAGGGAAGCAGGAGGTGGCGCAGCGGGGAAGCCATGCTCAGCTCCTGCACAACAGGCCATGGGACCCCACAGAGAACCGCAAGGGGTGCTTGCAAGGTCTTTATTTTCAGGACTGTAGCTACAAAAGACAAGGGACTCGCCTGCCATCAACCCCATGCTGCCCTTCTAGCAAGGCGTGGCCACAGAGCCCTTGAGACCCAGTCCTGGCACTGTCCTAACAAGCCAACACAGAGGGGGCCGAGAGGGGCCGTCACGCTGCAGCCACAAGCGGCCAAAATGCAAGGAGCTGCCAATGCAAGGAGGGGCAGGCAGGTAAGGAGAAAGGGGAGAGAAGGCTTCAGCTCTGTGCTGCCATTAGGGCTTCCTGACCTTGAAACAGAACAGGAGTCTGCTGAAAGGGGCTGCAGCACAAAGACCAATTGCTACAAAGGCCATGGGCATGCTACAAGGGTCACCTGTGCCCCGCAAAGCCTCCGGTGCCTGCACTTCACCCTGGCAGAGCGGCTCTGTTGCAGGCACTGGTGCTTCCCGGCAAGTTTTGTGGGCAGAGCTGCATCTGCACTCGCTGACCTGGTGTTCGTGTCCCACCGCGGGGCTCTTCGTGCAGCCGCAGACAGAGCGAGCAGCTCTGGATGAGGACACGGCCATTTCAATAATGAGGAAAGCAACCAAAGGCTCTGGAAATTAAGAGTGTCATGACAGAAGCCACCACTCCCGGGGCAGGCTGCGGGAGAGGAGGTCTGGAGCCAGGACAGGTTGGTGTTGGACCAGTCAACCCTGATTCTGCACAGCAGTCCCGATCAGGAAAATGCTTATACCAGTGACTTGAAGCAAAGCATGGGCTTACGTGCTGCCCAGAGCTGGGCCATCTGCGGGGTATTGATAAATGGAAGATACTGCTTCAGAGGGTTTGGTCCCATCCCGATGAGAGGGCCACGCCAGTTCAGGCAGGCCTCCTGAAGGCAGGCTCACTTGAGCTTTGCAGGGC